ACACTCACTCACACGTACACTCACTCATACGTACACTGACTCACACGTACACTAACACGTACACTCACACGTACACTCACTCACACGTACACTCACTCACACGTACACTCACACGGACACTCACTCACACAGACACTCACTCACACGTACACTCACACGTACACTCACTCACACGTACACTCACACGTACACTCACTCACACGTACACTCACTCACACGGACACTCACTCACTCACACGTACACTCACTCACACGTACACTCACTCACACATACACTCACACGGACACTCACTCACACAGACACTCACTCACACGTACACTCACACGTACACTCACACGTACACTCACTCACACAGACACTCACACGTACACTCACTCGTACACTCACTCACACGTACACTCACTCACACGTACACTCACACGTACACTCACTCATACGTACACTGACTCACACGTACACTCACACGGACACTCACTCACACAGACACTCACTCACACGTACACTCACACGTACACTCACTCACACATACACTCACACGTACACTCACTCACACGGACACTCACTCACTCACACGTACACTCACTCACACGTACACTCACACGTACACTCACTCACACGTACACTCACTCACACGTACACTCACTCACACGTACACTCACTCACACGTACACTCACACGTACACTCACTCACACGTTCACTCACACGTACACTCACTCATACGTACACTCACTCACACGTACACTCACTCACACGTACACTCACACGTACGTACACTGACTCGCATGTACACTCACACGTACACTCACTCATACGTACACTGACTCACACGTACACTCACACGTACACTCACGGACACTCACTCACACAGACACTCACTCACACGGACACTCACTCACACGTACACTCACTCACACGGACACTCACTCACACGTACACTCACTCACACGTACACTCACTCACACGTACACTCACACGTACACTCACTCACACGTACACTCACTCACACGTACACTCACACGTACACTCACACGTACACTCACTCACACGTACACTCACTCACACGTACACTCACACGTACACTCACTCACACGGACACTCACTCACTCACACGTACACTCACTCACACGTACACTCACACGTACACTCACTCACACAGACACTCACACGTACACTCACTCGTACACTCACTCACACGTACACTCACTCACACGTACACTCACACGTACACTCACTCATACGTACACTGGCTCACACGTACACTCACACGTACACTCACACGGACACTCACTCACACAGACACTCACTCACACGTACACTCACACGTACACTCACTCACACGGACACTCACTCACTCACACGTACACTCACTCACACGTACACTCACACGTACACTCACTCACACAGAAACTCACTCACACGTACACTGACTCACATGTACACTCACACGGACACTCACTCACACAGACACTCACTCACACGTACACTCACACGTACACTCACACGTACACTCACTCACACGGACACTCACTCACTCACACGTACACTCACTCACACGTACACTCACACGTACACTCACTCACACGTACACTCACACGTACACTCACTCACACAGACACTCACACGTACACTCACACGTACACTCACTCACACAGACACTCACTCACACGTACACTCACACGTACACTCACTCACACGTACACTCACTCACACAGACACTCACTCACACGTACACTCACTCACACGTACACTCACACGTACACTCACACGTACACTCACTCACACAGACACTCACTCACACGTACACTCACTCACACGTACACTCACACGTACACTCACACGTACACTCACTCACACAGACACTCACTCACACGTACACTCACTCACACGTACATTCACACGTACACTCACACGGACACTCACTCACACGTACACTCACACGTACACTCACTCACACGTACACTCACTCACACGTACACTCACTCACACGTACACTCACTCACACGGACACTCACTCACACAGACACTCACTCACACGTACACTCACTCACACGGACACTCACTCACACGTACACTCACTCACACGTACACTCACACGTACACTCACTCACACGCACACTCACACGTACACTCACTCACACGTACACTCACACGTACACTCACACGTACACTCACACGTACACTCACTCACACAGACACTCACTCACACGTACACTCACTCACACGTACACTCACACGGACACTCACTCACACAGACACTCACTCACACGTACACTCACACGTACACTCACTCACACGTACACTCACACGTACACTCACTCACACGTACACTCACTCACACGGACACTCACTCACTCACACGTACACTCACTCACACGTACACTCACTCACACATACACTCACACGGACACTCACTCACACAGACACTCACTCACACGTACACTCACACGTACACTCACACGTACACTCACTCACACAGACACTCACACGTACACTCACTCGTACACTCACTCACACGTACACTCACTCACACGTACACTCACACGTACACTCACTCATACGTACACTGACTCACACGTACACTCACACGGACACTCACTCACACAGACACTCACTCACACGTACACTCACACGTACACTCACTCACACATACACTCACACGTACACTCACTCACACGGACACTCACTCACTCACACGTACACTCACTCACACGTACACTCACACGTACACTCACTCACACGTACACTCACTCACACGTACACTCACTCACACGTACACTCACTCACACGTACACTCACACGTACACTCACTCACACGTTCACTCACACGTACACTCACTCATACGTACACTCACTCACACGTTCACTCACTCACACGTACACTCACACGTACGTACACTGACTCGCATGTACACTCACACGTACACTCACTCATACGTACACTGACTCACACGTACACTCACACGTACACTCACGGACACTCACTCACACAGACACTCACTCACACGGACACTCACTCACACGTACACTCACTCACACGGACACTCACTCACACGTACACTCACTCACACGTACACTCACTCACACGTACACTCACACGTACACTCACTCACACGTACACTCACTCACACGTACACTCACACGTACACTCACACGTACACTCACTCACACGTACACTCACTCACACGTACACTCACACGTACACTCACTCACACGGACACTCACTCACTCACACGTACACTCACTCACACGTACACTCACACGTACACTCACTCACACAGACACTCACACGTACACTCACTCGTACACTCACTCACACGTACACTCACTCACACGTACACTCACACGTACACTCACTCATACGTACACTGGCTCACACGTACACTCACACGTACACTCACACGGACACTCACTCACACAGACACTCACTCACACGTACACTCACACGTACACTCACTCACACGGACACTCACTCACTCACACGTACACTCACTCACACGTACACTCACACGTACACTCACTCACACAGAAACTCACTCACACGTACACTGACTCACATGTACACTCACACGGACACTCACTCACACAGACACTCACTCACACGTACACTCACACGTACACTCACACGTACACTCACTCACACGGACACTCACTCACTCACACGTACACTCACTCACACGTACACTCACACGTACACTCACTCACACGTACACTCACACGTACACTCACTCACACAGACACTCACACGTACACTCACACGTACACTCACTCACACAGACACTCACTCACACGTACACTCACACGTACACTCACTCACACAGACACTCACTCACACGTACACTCACTCACACGTACACTCACACGTACACTCACACGTACACTCACTCACACAGACACTCACTCACACGTACACTCACTCACACGTACACTCACACGTACACTCACACGTACACTCACTCACACAGACACTCACTCACACGTACACTCACTCACACGTACATTCACACGTACACTCACACGGACACTCACTCACACGTACACTCACACGTACACTCACTCACACGTACACTCACTCACACGTACACTCACTCACACGTACACTCACTCACACGGACACTCACTCACACAGACACTCACTCACACGTACACTCACTCACACGGACACTCACTCACACGTACACTCACTCACACGTACACTCACACGTACACTCACTCACACGCACACTCACACGTACACTCACTCACACGTACACTCACACGTACACTCACACGTACACTCACTCACACAGACACTCACTCACACGTACACTCACTCACACGTACACTCACACGTACACTCACACATACACTCACTCACACAGACACTCACTCACACGTACACTCACACGTACACTCACACGTACACTCACTCACACGTACACTCACTCACATGTACACTCACACGTACACTCACTCACACGTACACTCACTCACACGTACACTGACTCACACGTACACTCACTCACACGGACACTCACACAGACACTCACTCACACGTACACTCACTCACACGGACACTCACTCACACGTACACTCACTCACACGTACACTCACACGTACACTCACTCACACGCACACTCACTCACACGTACACTCACTCACACGGACACTCACTCACACGTACACTCACTCACACGTACACTCACTCACACGTACACTCACTCACACGTACACTCACTCACACGTACACTCACACGTACACTCACTCAGACACTCACTCACACGTACACTCACTCACTCACACGTACACTCACTCACACGTACACTCACTCACACGTACACTCACTCACACGTACACTCCACATGCAGCGTCCCCCGACTCCTCCATTGAGCTCATGCCCTCCAAGGTGCGGGAGGTGCTGGTGGATGAGGAGGTGGAGGTGGTAGGGGTGGTGGTTGTGGAGGTGGTGGTGGTGGTGGTGGTGGAGGTGGTTGTGGTGGAGGTAGTAGGGACGGTGGTGGTGGTGGAGGTGGTTGTAGTGGAGGTGGTGGTTGTAGTGGAGGTAGTAGGGACGGTGGTGGAGGCAGTTGTAGTGGTGGTGGTGGTGGCGACTAGCAGCACTTGCCCCTACACCGTTAGAGGCTACACGGCGGGGTGGGCGCGTGACCTCCGCCTTTTGTTCGCGACGCAGCTGAAGTCGTTCGCGGCCAAGCCGGTGGTGGACACGGACTCGCTGCCGCAGCTAAAGAGCGGCGGGCGACGGAGCAAGATTATTGCGCCCTACAGGGTGACCGCACGTACACGCACGTACACTCACGTACAGTCGCGCACGCGCACACGTGTACACGTACAGTCACGCACGCACGCGCACACGGGTACACGCGCGTACAGTCACGCACGTACATACGTACGTACGCGCGTAACACATACGTACACACTCACGCACGCGCGTGCACTGCTACTATTACTAAACGTGTTGTGGTGGTGGTGGTGGTGTCTCTGTGCTGTGCAGTGTCGCTGTAACGGACGCTGTGATACGCGGCATTGTGGCTACTACTACTGCTACTACTGCTGCTACTAAGCGTGTGGTGGTGGTGGTGTCTCTGTGCTGTGCAGTGTCGCTGTAAAGAACACTGTGAAACGCTGCGTTGTGGCTGCAAACGTGCAGGAGTGGCGTGCTCTCGCCAACGCTGCTGCTGTGACCACCACATGTGCAGAAACCGCAGCCACGCGGTGAGGCCAGTGCAGCTGCAGGTGCAGCTGGGGGTGCAGCTGGTTGATGCGGGTGCAGCTGCGAGTGCTGTGGGTGTTGTGGGGGGTAGCGGAAGCAGTAGCAAACGAGGGTTTGGTGGTAGTGATAGGGGTTGTGGTAGTGATAGGGGTTGTGGTAGTGATAGGGGTTGTGGTAGTGATAGGGGTTGTGGTAGTGATAGGGGTTGTGGTAGTGGTAGGGGTTGTGGTAGTGGTAGGGGTTGTGGTGGTGATAGGGGTTGTGGTAGTGGTAGGGGTTGTGGTAGTGATAGGGGTTGTGGTAGTGGTAGGGGTTGTGGTGGTGATAGGGGTTGTGGTGGTGATAGGGGTTGTGGTGGTGATAGGGGTTGTGGTGGTGATAGGGGTTGTGGTAGTGGTAGGGGTTGTGGTAGTGGTAGGGGTTGTGGTAGTGATAGGGGTTGTGGTAGTGGTAGGGGTTGTGGTGGTGATAGGGGTTGTGGTGGTGATCGGGGTTGTGGTAGTGATAGGGGTTGTGGTGGTGATAGGGGTTGTGGTGGTGATAGGGGTTGTGGTAGTTATAGGGGTTGTGGTGGTGATAGGGGTTGTGGTAGTGGTAGGGGTTGTGGTAGTGATAGGGGTTGTGGTAGTGGTAGGGGTTGTGGTAGTGATAGGGGTTGTGGTAGTGGTAGGGGTTGTGGTGGTGATAGGGGTTGTGGTGGTGATAGGGGTTGTGGTGGTGATAGGGGTTGTGGTGGTGATAGGGGTTGTGGTAGTGGTAGGGGTTGTGGTAGTGGTAGGGGTTGTGGTAGTGATAGGGGTTGTGGTAGTGGTAGGGGTTGTGGTGGTGATAGGGGTTGTGGTGGTGATAGGGGTTGTGGTGGTGATAGGGGTTGTGGTAGTGGTAGGGGTTGTGGTAGTGGTAGGGGTTGTGGTAGTGATAGGGGGGGTAGTGGTAGGGGTTGTGGTGGTGATGGGGGGGGGTAGTGGTAGGGGTTGTGGTGGTGATAGGGGTTGTGGTAGTGGTAGGGGTTGTGGTGGTGATAGGGGTTGTGGTAGTGGTAGGGGTTGTGGTGGTGATAGGGGTTGTGGTAGTAGTAGGGGTTGTGGTGGTGATAGGGGTTGTGGTGGTGATAGGGGGGGTAGTGGTAGGGGTTGTGGTGGTGATGGGGGGGGGGTAGTGGTAGGGGTTGTGGTGGTGATAGGGGTGGTCGTAGCTGGAGGGGGTTAGTGAGTAGCAACAGGATGATGATGATGGTGATGATGGTGATGATGATGGTGATGATGATGGTGATGATGATGGTGATGATGATGGTGATGATGGTGATGATGATGGTGATGATGATGGTGATGATGGTGATGATGGTGATGATGATGATGGTGATGATGGTGGTGATGATGATGATGGTGGTGATGATGATGATGATGGTGGTGATGATGGTGGTGATGATGGTGGTGATGATGGTGGTGATGATGATGATGGTGATGATGATGGTGATGATGATGGTGATGATGTCGATGATGGTGATGATGATGGTGATGATAATGGTGGTGATGATGGTGGTGATGATGATGATGATGGTGGTGATGATGGTGGTGATGGTGATGATGGTGATGGTGATGATGGTGATGATGATGGTGGTGATGATGATGATGATGGTGATGATGATGGTGATGATGATGGTGATGATGATGGTGATGATGTCGATGATGGTGATGATGATGGTGATGATAATGGTGATGATGATGGTGATGATGATGGTGGTGATGATGATGATGATGGTGGTGATGATGGTGGTGATGATGGTGGTGATGATGGTGGTGATGATGATGATGGTGATGATGATGGTGATGATGATGGTGATGATGATGGTGATGATGTCGATGGTGATGATGATAATGGTGATGATGATGGTGATGATGATGATGGTGATGATGTCGATGGTGATGATGATAATGGTGATGATGATGGTGATGCTGGGCTAGGGGAGAAGATGGGTGGGGGTTGTTTTAAGGGGGTGGGAACTGAAGCTGCTGCTTGCGGGGCAACACAAACACCCCTCGACTGCGGTGAGTTTCACCACGGCGAGTTCACCGCGGTGAACCTGTCGCGGTGAAACTCTTTGCGGTGAAACTCTTCGCGGTTAAACTCTCCGCGGTGAATCTGAACCCACACCGTCTGCCCAGGGAGTCAAGGTGGCGTCGGAGAAGCTGGAGTCCTCCTTGTTGGACGACTCCCTCAAGAGGGACGACTCCCTCAAGAGGGACGAGCCCAGCGGAGTCGCCCGCCCTCCGGGGGAGTCGTTCTTCATGCTGCCCGACGTCGCTCCATCTCCGCAGGTGCGACCTGGTCGTCGATGATGACGACGCTGCTGCTGCTGCTGCTACTACTACTGCAGCTGCAGCAGCTGCTGCTGCTGCTGCAGCAACAGCCACCGGCGCTATCGTCACTGCCATCATCACCAGGTATCGTCACCAGCTATCACCACCGCCTCTTATCATCACCGCCATCATCACCACCGCCACCCTTACCATTATCTCCCACCCTCACCACCACCTCCCCACGCTCTCCCCACGCTCACCACCCTCACCACCACCCTCACCACCACCCCCCTCACCACCACCCTCACCCTCACCACCTCCCTCACCACCTCCCTCACCACCACCCTCACCACCACCCTCGCCCACCCTCACCACCACCCTCACCACCCTCCCCACCCTCACCATTGTCTCCCACCCTCGCCCACCCTCACCACCACCCTCACCACCACCCTCACCACCACCCTCACCACCCTCACCACTCTCCCCACCACCCTCACCCACCACCATCACCACCACCCACCACCACCACCCTCACCACCCTCATCACCACCACCCCCACCACCCTCGCCACCTCCCCACGCTCTCCCACAGGTGCTCAAGGAGTTGGGTGGCACTGGGCTGCTGTCTGCGCTGTCGGACCCCTCTCTGCTCACCAACGCCAGCACCCCCGTTCAAGAGCCACGCGCCAGCGGAGGCAGCACCAGCGGTCGCACCAGCGGAGGTGGTGGTACCAGCGGTGGTGGTGGTGATGATGATGGTGGTGGTGGTGGTGCTGCTTCTGGAGCTGGGTCACTCGGGGCTCATGGCCGCCTGCTCGCCCGTGCCGCCCATGTAACGTAGTCGCGGCGACGGCGGCGTCTCACACCTTGTTGTTGTGTGTGTTGTTGTGTGTTGGTGTGTTGTTGTGCTTCCTCCGACGAGCGCGGTTTGGCTTGCTGCGTTACGGCGGTGCGAAAGCCGTTCCACGCGTACACACACCAACAACTACCTACACAACAACAACTACCTACACAACAACAACAACAACTACGCACACACCAACAACTACCTACACAACAACAACTACCTACACACCAACAACTACCTACACACCAACAACTACGTACACACCAACAACTACCTACACAACAACAACTACCTACACAACAACAACAACAACTACGTACACACCAACAACTACCTACACAACAACTACCTACACAACAACAACAACAACTACGTACACAACAACAACTACGTACACAACAACTACGTACACACACCAACAACTACGTACACACCAACAACTACGTCAACAACAACATCCGCCGTTCACCACTAAGTGGCAGTGACAGCGCTTGTGCCAGGCTAGGTGCACGTTGAGGCCACCACGTGAAGTGTCAAACGCCCCCCGCCGGCAGGAGGTCACGTGGCAGACCCAGCTGGTGCCACGTGTCGACTAAGATGACTGGCCGATGCACCACCTGTGCCAGGCTAGGTACAGGAGGTCACGGGGCAGACCCAGCTGGTGCCACGGGTCGACTGACCGAGACGACTGCCCGATGCACCAGCTGTGCCTCCCACTGTGCCAGGCTAGGTGCACGCAAAAGACAAAAATCCCCCGTATAGCCTGAACAGGCTGTCAGGGCAAATGCTTGCTGCTGCTGCTTAGTTGAGTTGGCTCTGCAAGCGTGCGGTGGTGGCGGTGGCGGTGGCGGTAAACGTCGCACTGTGTGTGTGTGTGGCAAGCCCGTTGTCCGTGAGCTTTTGTCGGAGGGGAAAAATGTTTAGCTGCCAGAGTGTGTCACGCCGTGTCCGTCTTTCTCGCTGTCTCTCTTGTTGTTTTTCTCGCTCTGTCTTTGTCTGTCTCTCTGTCTGTGTGTGTCTCTGTGTGTGTGTGTCTGTCTCAATGTGTGTGTGTGTTTGTATGTCCGTCGACTCGATGGTTGCGTGGTGATGATGGATGCACTGAGTCGGTTCGGATGGATTTAGAGTTCCACGGTTCAGCCACGCGTGACGAATTAGCAGCAGGCAAGATTGTCCGGGTGTGTAGTGTGTGTGTGTGGTGTGTGTGTGTGTGTCCAGTGTGTGTGTGTGTGTCCAGTGTGCTGTGTCATGTGTGTGGTGCGTTGTGTGTGTGTGCAGTGTGCTGTGTGTGTGTGGTGTGTGGTGTGGTGCGGTGTGTGTGGTGCGTTGTGTGTGTGTGTGGTGCGTTGTGTGTGTGTGTGGTGCGTTGTGTGTGTGTCCAGTGTGCTGTGTGTGTGTGTGTCCAGTGTGCTGTGTGTGTGTCCTGTGTGTGTGTGGTGCGTGGTGTGGTGTGTGTGGTGCGTTGTGTGTGTGTGTGGTGTGTTGTGTGGTGCGTTGTGTGTGTGTCTCTTCAATGATGTGTAATGTGTGAGTATGAATGTACCTATTGTCATTTTAACACAGACGCTTTCGCTACCAATGTCATCCGTAATTGAGGTTGTGTTTTTTTGGGGTGGGGGGGGGTGTGGGGTCTTAGATCGTGTAAGTATATGAATGTGTCGTTAAACCCGCCACCACCCGACACAGCCACCTAGTGAACGTGAGTGTCGTGTGAATAGCACGGGGCCGGTTCGTCACGATCACAGCACACAGCCTAGTGTAGTGTATAGTGTAGTGTATAGTGTAGTGTATAGTGTTGTATACTAGTACAGCACTAGTGTGTAGTGTATAGTGTAGTATACTAGTACAACACTAGTGTATAGTGTAGTATACTAGTACAGCACTACACCGCCTGTGTTGGAGATGTAGTGCTGTACTAGTATACATTATACACTACACACTAGTGCTGTACTAGTATACTACACTATACACTACACTATACACTAGTGCTGTACTAGTATACTACACTATACACTACACTATACACTAGTGCTGTACTAGTATACTACACTATACACTACACTATACACTAGTACACTACAAGCCACAACATTTGCCGTGGCGTCTCCCCAGTTGCTGTACTAGTGACGAATTGACACGTTTTGTTCGTGACAACCCAGACTCTAGCTGGCTGTGTCGGGTGGTGGCGGGTTTAACAACACAACATTTATATTTTCACTCGATCTAACCCAACACACAAACCCTCTGTTATGGACCCGTTATCGTGATTGTAGAATAAAAAAATTTATAAGGTTTTTCGGTTGTCTTTCTTCTTGGTTCTTTCGGTAAAGTCACGTAGAAGGGAAGTAATAAAATAATAAAAATAAAACATAATAAAACAATTCTCACGACGTTTCGGCCACAACGCAAGCAGCCGTCCTCAGGCGAAGAATGAAGCACCACCAAGCTTGGAGCGTATATTTAAGCTGGGCTAGAGGGGGGGAGGTGGGAAGAAGAGCGCCTAAACAAAATAATTTGCATATCAAGAGGAATTCAGCATATGGAAAATGCGTAGGAGGTGGGCGGGAGGGGGGTTCCAAATCAATACTATGCCCGTGCATTATGCAGGATTAGCAGCATCAAGGGGGGGGGGGGGGAGGGGGTAGCATTAACAAAGGAAAGGAATGTTAATAGTATGTAGCTGCAGTTACTAAACAACCACGTAAAAAACTAAAGTATAAACTGCATAACAAACTAAAGTATAAACTACATAGCATCATCAGTATACTTACTATACTCTACAATAAGTTGAGTTACTAACAGTAAGTAATACATAAAAAATGTTCTACGTTGTAAAAAATTATATAATATGCTTCCATCTAAACTTTATTCTCTTACATCACACGCGTCTATACCGTACTATATACTGCCATAGGCAAACTCAACATTAAATTACATACTGTATTGCTATAAACCACCTTATACATTTTAATATAACACTATGTATTATTCTACCCACCCTAATGTGTATCAAAATGGTTTATTACGTCCTTCCAGTGATTGCTAAGCCAGAATCCATCTTCTCGGTTAAAATTGTCTCTGTGTTTGTATATGTGGATCGCCTCATGAACGAATCTCTCATGATAGCCAGATGGCTTGCAGAGAACCTCTGTCTTGGAGAAGTCAATGTCATGTGAGCCCACTGAGTTGTAACAGTGATCTGCCACGGCTGAGGTGTTTGTCCTACCGTGTTTCAGGTCAGCTTTATGTTCACGGATGCGGTCCGAGACATGTCGTTTGGTTTCCCCAATGTAACTGCTACCACAGAGGAAACTTAGTTTGTAGACACCAGGGTACTGTATGTCTGGAACCACATCTTTTACAAACCCCTGCAGTCACGAAAGCTTTAAATCGAAAGTTTTTCGGTTGATTGAAATTTTATTAGAGAGCTGTGGATGAAGGAGAGAGCTGTGGATGAAGGAGAGAGCTGTGGATGAAGGAGAGAGCTGTGGTTGAAGGAGAGAGCTGTGGTTGAAGGAGAGAGCTGTGGATGAAGGAGGGAGCTGTGGATGAAGGAGAGAGCTGTGGATGAAGGAGGGAGCTGTGGGTGAAGGAGGGAGCTGTGGATGAAGGAGGGAGCTGTGGGTGAAGGAGAGAGCTGTGGTTGAAGGAGAGAGCTGTGGGTGAAAGATGGAGCTGTGGATGAAGGAGGGAGCTGTGGATGAAGGAGAGAGCTGTGGATGAAGGAGAGAGCTGTGGTTGAAGGAGAGAGCTGTGGTTGAAGGAGAGAGCTGTGGATGAAGGAGGGAGCTGTGGATGAAGGAGAGAGCTGTGGATGAAGGAGGGAGCTGTGGGTGAAGGAGGGAGCTGTGGATGAAGGAGGGAGCTGTGGGTGAAGGAGAGAGCTGTGGTTGAAGGAGAGAGCTGTGGGTGAAAGATGGAGCTGTGGATGAAGGAGGGAGCTGTGGATGAAGGAGGGAGCTGTGGATGAAGGAGAGAGCTGTGGATGAAGGAGAGAGCTGTGGGTGAAAGATGGAGCTGTGGATGAAGGAGGGAGCTGTGGGTGAAAGATGGAGCTGTGGATGAAGGAGGGAGCTGTGGATGAAGGAGAGAGCTGTGGATGAAGGAGAGAGCTGTGGATGAAGGAGGGAACTGTGGATGAAGGAGAGAGCTGTGGATGAAGGAGAGAGCTGTGGATGAAGGAGAGAGCTGTGGATGAAGGAGGGAACTGTGGATGAAGGAGGGAGCTGTGGGTGAAGGAGAGAGCTGTGGATGAAGGAGAGAGCTGTGGATGAAGGAGGGAGCTGTGGGTGAAGGAGAGAGCTGTGGGTGAAGGAGAGAGCTGTGGATGAAGGAGAGAGCTGTGGATGAAGGAGAGAGCTGTGGATGAAGGAGAGAGCTGTGGATGAAGGAGGGAGCTGTGGATGAAGGAGGGAGCTGTGGATGAAGGAGAGAGCTGTGGATGAAGGAGGGAGCTGTGGATGAAGGAGAGAGCTGTGGATGAAGGAGAGAGCTGTGGGTGAAAGATGGAGCTGTGGATGAAGGAGGGAGCTGTGGGTGAAAGATGGAGCTGTGGATGAAGGAGAGAGCTGTGGTTGAAGGAGAGAGCTGTGGTTGAAGGAGAGAGCTGTGGATGAAGGAGGGAGCTGTGGATGAAGGAGAGAGCTGTGGATGAAGGAGAGAGCTGTGGATGAAGGAGAGAGCTGTGGATGAAGGAGGGAGCTGTGGATGAAGGAGGGAGCTGTGGATGAAGGAGAGAGCTGTGGATGAAGGAGGGAGCTGTGGATGAAGGAGAGAGCTGTGGATGAAGGAGAGAGCTGTGGGTGAAGGAGAGAGCTGTGGGTGAAGGAGAGAGCTGTGGATGAAGGAGAGAGCTGTGGATGAAGGAGAGAGCTGTGGATGAAGGAGAGAGCTGTGGATGAAGGAGGGAGCTGTGGATGAAGGAGGGAGCTGTGGATGAAGGAGAGAGCTGTGGATGAAGGAGGGAGCTGTGGATGAAGAAGAGAGCTGTGGATGAAGGAGAGAGCTGTGGGTGAAAGATGGAGCTGTGGATGAAGGAGGGAGCTGTGGGTGAAAGATGGAGCTGTGGATGAAGGAGAGAGCTGTGGTTGAAGGAGAGAGCTGTGGTTGAAGGAGAGAGCTGTGGATGAAGGAGGGAGCTGTGGATGAAGGAGAGAGCTGTGGATGAAGGAGGGAGCTGTGGATGAAGGAGAGAGCTGTGGATGAAGGAGATAGCTGTGGATGAAGGAGGGAGCTGTGGATGAAAGATGGAGCTGTGGATGAAGGAGGGAGCTGTGGATGACAGAGAGAGCTGTGGTTGAAGGAGGGAGCTGTGGATGAAAGAGGGAGCTGTGGATGAAGGAGGGAGCTGTGGGTGAAGGAGAGAGCTTTGGATGAAGGATGGAGCTGTGGATGAAGGAGAGAGCTGTGGTTGAAGGAGAGAGCTGTGGATGAAGGAGGGAGCTGTGGGTGAAGGAGAGAGCTTTGGATGAAGGATGGAGCTGTGGATGAAGGAGAGAGCTGTGGTTGAAGGAGAGAGCTGTGGATGAAGGAGGGAGCTGTGGGTGAAGGAGAGAGCTTTGGATGAAGGAGGGAGCTGTGGATGAAGGAGGGAGCTGTGGATGAAGGAGGGAGCTGTGGGTGAAGGAGAGAGCTGTGGATGAAGGAGGGAGCTGTGGATGAAGGAGGGAGCTGTGGATGAAGGAGGGAGCTGTGGATGAAGGAGAGAGCTTTGGATGAAGGAGGGAGCTGTGGGTGAAGGAGAGAGCTGTGGATGAAGGAGAGAGCTGTGGGTGAAGGAGGGAGCTGTGGATGAAGGAGGCGTACCGTTCTAACGACGAACGCCGGTACCGTCGCGAACGCCGTCCGACCCGCAGTGGGGGACGGCAGAAACGCCATGCGTCGGCCTGACGGGAGCTCAATGCAGCCCTGGTCGATTAAAATACGAATCGGCATTTTGCCCAGGAAGTCCGTCCCCAGCAGGCACGGAACCGCCAGCGAGGAGGAAACAAAAATCGGGCCGGACAATTTGATATCACCGATACAAATTTGCGCTCGAATTTGTCCAATGATGCCAAGTGAGCCCCCGTTAGCAGCATAGAATGGGACGTTAACGGGCAGCAAGGGACGGCTCTGAACAGGGAGAATATTGTAAATTAGTTTCGAAATGATGGTCGCCGATGCTCCTGTATCGACCAGGACGCGCACCTCAACCCCGTCAATGTGCCCCACAACGGCTGACAACCCCCGACGATGCAGCCACAACGCGATGGGCCAACATGGACCACTGCCTGGGTTCGATATGAGTCCCCATAGTGGTGCGTGTTGGCGCGACGGTGCGCAATGTCGGCCCCCCGTTCGTTGCGGTGTGCGAATGTGTGACGGGTGTGTGCGTGGGCCAAACATGAGGGGTGCCGTGACTCGCCGGGTTATGTTGATGGAACTTGGGAGGAGGGCCGGCGTCCTGTCGAGGCGTCGTCCCCCGCTGCCGAGGAGAGCGGCACCCCGAGGCGACATGGCCCCGGATGCCGCAGTTGTAACAGCGCGGGAGCGCTGACGACGATGATGGATGGTCGAGGTGGCTCGCTCCGGCCCGCCCGTACCCCCGCTCTCTGCTGCAGTTGATGGTCGATGGCACAAACTTCCTCCGCCGGGAGGGTGGCTGCAGCCACAGCACGCCCGGCCGCTGCCTTGCTGGCCTTCTGTCGCTGCGAGAGTAGGTTGGCGTGGAGGAGCCGTGCAGCCTGGAGGGAACACATTTCTGCGTCGTCCTGTGCAACGACGGCGATGTCCAGGT